AACTGTGTACCATAAGTTCTCTCTCTTCATCACAGTAATGTTGAATAGATGCTTTCATTAAGACATGTGCACTGTTTACTTGGTTCTGCTGAGCTGACACCACCTGTTGCCTGATGGAGGGTCATTTGCACGATGCCTCCCTCTCTCTTAGAACATCTTAGACTCCCCCAGGTGGGGGGCCTATTCCACCCCCCCTCAGTCTCCAGGGCTTGATGCTTGGGTGTGTGCTGGCTCGTTCTAGGTGGCTTCTTGGCAGGGCCTGTGCCCCCTGGCTGTGTCAGGCCCCTGCTGAGGCCCTTGGGTCTGGGGTCTGGGGCAGTAGAGATGTTCCCAGAGAGGCAGAGGTCCCGTAAGCATGCTGTGTTACTGCGTTACTAAACCGTGATTTTGTTTGTGAGAGTGTCTCATGACAATGATGTGCGTGCGACGTCCGTGGCTGCAACAGACGTATGTAGATCAACAACGGATAATATGGAGTGTGTGAGAAAGTACAACCATGTAGTGTTAAAAGCATGGAACTACTGACATTCCTTCAAGTTTTACTCCGTAAAAAGTGCAAAAACATCAGGATGGTTTGTTTGACAGATGTTATTAAAATTTTGCATTTTCACTGTTTTTCTGTTATTCCAACTAACTTCTTTTCATCATCCATCATCCATTCTTATGTCATTATGTCATATTAATGGCATAAAACTACAGTAAATACATTAGAATTACAAATTAATTAGAATTTAGCAATTCTGATTTCATTATTGATATTACTTGTTTTGGTTCCCATATCGATTCTCATTGACTTTACATTGGCTGCAGGTGTGAACAGATTGTCTGTCTCTACAACAGTGGTCTTCTTAAAAGTGGACATCTGTATAAAAAGCTTTAGACATGTATTTTTTTAGTGAAGCTGAAGTACGAGTACTTTATAATATGCCTGGTTTATCTAATCATTAGTCAATTAAATGGCTAATTTCACTTACACTGACTGAGTCTCCTAACAAGACATTAGTCTATGTTTATTAAGCTTCTGCAGAAAGAACAGTCAGCACACAAAGAAGCAAATGCCACTGAATCTGCCTGTCTTTGTCACAATTGTGCTGTACACAGACATATACACTGGATGTATTAACATGCTGGCTACACCGCGGATCACACAAACCTGTCAGGCACAGGTTTCCAGTGCGTTCAGCATAGGTACTACAAAATGCTTCCCATCCAAGTTGGGTATTGGGTGGGATTGGATGTGTTCAGGCCACCAACTCCCTTTTCTATGACTCCCTCTATGGTCAGTCTACTTTGCTGTGGCCAACATACACAGCATAGTAGCAAAGCACAGCTTAGCATATCAAGTGAATTTTAAATCATATTGCGTTTCCTCTATCTATGCTACACTAAATGAATGTTGGGGTTAAAAAATAATAAAAGTTAACTTCAGTGAACAACTCACAACTATTCCTTTTACTATTCATTATTATCTGTTACATATAGTGTTGCACTATATGTGGCTGAAGCCTTCAGGAATGAAGTGCTAAAATAAATCTTTAA